GTAAGAATATAGGAGGAAAAGACGAGGATAGATCGCTCGCAGTTGTTGAATAGATAATACTTGGTCTCCAGGTACTGCAGCAGTGTGACGTCGACAATTCTGGGAATGTATCGTATATTGAATCCTAGGATTTCCTCAAGAATGATATGATAGGACGGGTATTTATGGTACTGCAGCGTGGGAGGTTATTCTGTCGGAAACGCCTGTAAGCTAAATCTATGATTCACGTTCTCTGCCTGCCCGTCAGGCAAAGCAAGAAATTATAGATAGGTGGAGTCTCTCATCCGTTGCACTTCATCATCAGCATTTTCTGAGATGGGATGCGGGCAAATGTTGGACCTTTTTCCGGGATTAAAGCGGTGCGTGAGGGACGAACAAGCAAGGAGTCAAACAATTTGGCGGCGGCGACAGCAATGTGCGCGGTAAGGTAACCTTATCGTTAGAAACCTGTGTCAAATACATAACTTAAAGAAAAGCACAAAAGGATCAAGTCGCGTAGATGAGTTTCCGACTTTTGTAATTTTCTGTTTTCACGCTCTAATCGAGTAAATTATCCATCAGGCTTTTGAAGTGGAAACATTTCGCTCCTTTTTATGCATTGTCTTCACATACACGGCAGAGGTGAAAAGAAAACCGTCTTTTTGCAAGCGAAAAAGAGACCCTTTGAAAAATTTGTTTACGCAAGAAGGTCTTAGATTTATAAGAATATTTGTCGCATGCAATCACGCTTTTATTTTGGGAGATGGCTCCATGTGAATTTTACATCCGTTGTAAGCCCACGACCCCTAAGGAGATATTTCAAGGAAAATCAACAAAGCAATTGCATGTCAAAGCGATAATAAAGGTCAGCCATCTTGCAGCGTCTGATCCCCGAAAGTAAATTTTTCTTCCAGGGCATAAATTCTCGCCAAAGGTTTCGTGGTTCACGCATTTAAAATGCTTTAACGCAGCGACTATTGGTGCGCGATGCCAACGAATTTCTTCAATGATAGGAAAAATGCGAAGAGGAGATAGAGCGATGTCAAAAGTTATCTTTATTACCCTGTCTACTCATGTACTACTACATACAGAATTACAGAGAGTTGCCATCGCTCGATATTGAAGTTGGGAGGCTGTGAGGAGTGAGGTACCAAGGCGGCCCAGGCATGCAAAGGGCAGGGTTCAGGGCTCCAGGCACAGGGCATACAATACAGAAGCGTCAATTATTCTCAACTATGATCCTCTTTAAGTCTTCAGCACATCCCGGTACTTAATATTAGAGAAGAAGAGTTTGTAATACTGCGTTTTAGGGAAGGCTGTCTTGACTCCAGCACCCGTTCCCATCTAGTCACAATAAAGTAAGTATCTCGTTGAAACACGCGAGTCCCGACTCAGAGAATCAGCTCGAATATTTACGACCTCTTTTTAAAATGGTGACTTGCAAGTTCGCCAGACACACAACGCAAATTTTATTTCAGAATTAAAATGATGAGTTCTTTCAGTTACGTGTCCGTTACAGGCCCCTAAACATGCTCCTTATCATTTGACGTCCGTTACTTCTTCACCTGTAATTGTATAAAGCTATACATGAAAAAAATGTGAGCCACTTCTTAAAGCTACTAGATATCATTTGAGGGATCGAAAAGTATCTGTATTGCGTGGATAATATTCTTCTTGAAACATAGCGCAAATATAGCGCTTGATCGAGAAAGCTTCATGAGGGCACTTAACTTCCCTGTAGCCCCCGCAACACTCCTCTTGCAAGTATATTCCACTCCTGGCATTAAGTCTTGCTTGCAAGTGGAAATGGAGATTAAGTGGCAAGAAGGACGTGCAAGCTTTGCTCTCACACAGCTCCATTTTGCATAATTCCGTTACAGTCGTGTGTGAGGCTGTAACAGAATTTGACTTTTGCCTATACACAGTCCGCCAATCTCTGATATGTCATTGCAAATTGAAATTCACTTTCAGAACAAAGTCTTACTATACGTCTAAAGCTCACTAGAGAAGTCAGCGCAATTACATCTGTATATGGCTGGTGCAAAACACTGCAATCTCAGGATGCATAGAGCGACTCTGATTTGATTCATTCAAGCCAGGTCTACATGATGTTTCTGTTATTCGTAGGCCTTTGAAGCTGAGTCTTCTTTGTCTCTATTCTCTGACCCCAAAAGACAGCCGTCATCAAGCCAGCAAACGATGCGGGTGTCCTTTATCGCTTCGTGCCTCGCCCTTCTCCTTGTCACCTTGGTCCCGCCTGTAGCTGCTCAGGAGTGTCCGACTATCCTCTTGGCCGCTAAGACACGTCCAGACTCGAAGCGCGGTGTCTTAGCTGGTAGAAGCAAAGCCACAATCACTGTCAAACTTCGCAGCAAGGACTCTGTCGATGACTTAGCCTTCAAGCTGGCCTTGCCTACCGGCTTGTCAGTCATACGTACAGCCACCCGTCCGGCTTCCAAGCGCTCTGTCGCGCCGCAGATCGTACAGAACGCGGATGGAATAACAAATATTTACTGGCTAGGTGTCGATTTTACCAGGCCCAAGGGCGGGAAACGTGTCTTCCGAGCCAAGGTCGCAGTGGAGAAATGTGCGCCTGAGACGTTAGTCGTGACTGGTCTTGCTTACTTTGCGAACGCGACGTCGACCTTCTGTGAAACACCGCTGACCAACCCGGAGATCTTACATGTGCGATATGGGAAGTTTAAGAAGTCTGCAACGTGCGCGCCGACACCTGCTCCTACTGTCAACCCCACGCAACCTTTTGTGTTGTTTGGCGAAGGACAGCGTTTCTCGCAAGGAGGCGTTCTGGCACCGTTCAATACACGCCGTCTATCCATGCACTCTGACAGCAATGAGGTGCGGGACGCGAGTCAGACAAGGCGTGCTGTAAATCGCCAGCTACCGTCTGTAATTGCTACACCGGAGGACTGTTTTGAATATTGCTCGCTGAACGCGAATGTATCCTCGCCCTTCTTATTTAGCTGGAATCGGGTAGCTACCCAGTGTTTTTGCTGTCTGAGCGTATGCACTCCTCTGATCTTTGATCCTGACTATGATGTGTATGAAGGACTTGTCCCTGTGACCGTCGCTCCCACGGCGGCGCCCACAGGGCCTACTGCTGCCCCCACCGCTGCCCCTACTGCTGCCCCTACGACGGCTGCACCGACGGGAGCTCCTACCCAAGCCCCGACTGCTTCCCCTACTGCTGCCCCTACGGCTGCCCCAACACC